GTGGACAACAGCGCCCTCGGGAACACCACATACCATCGCCCTCCTCGCTGCGTCCACGTCTATACCAAGAATGGGGTGGGCAGAGTGGGTGACCAAATACTGCTGGCCATCAAGGGACAGAAGAAAAAGGCCCTCATTGTGGGGCATCGCATGGCTGGTGCCCGAATGACCCCCAGGTTTGACTCCAACAACGTGGTCCTCATTGAGGACAATGGGAACCCTGTGGGGACCCGAATTAAGACTCCGATCCCCACAAGTCTGCGCCAGAAGGAGGGCGAGTATTCCAAGGTGCTGGCCATTGCTCAGAACTTTGTGTGAGGGAATGTTCAGGCCTTCTGCTGCAGTGGGTTTGTGAAAGGCATGCAGAGAACCACGCCTCTGCCGAGTGGGAACTTGGGGCCAGATGGTTGCTCCCTTGACATTGGGGGAATAATATTCTGTGAGAAAATAAACTTTTTCACATAAAAAAAAAAACAGACATTCGGATGGCGGGGAAGAAGTACAAACTGGGGAGGAGGGTAGAAAGAATGGTGCAGCAATGAAGGAATGAAAACCCAAAATCCCTGTAAATGTTCATTAAAACTAATAAAATTTAATAATAAAAAAAATATGGCATTGGAAGCAGAGCCTTCTTACTGGGAGCACAAAGGAGGAGGAACAGTTACAAACAGACACTACTGACTGGAATGTGGAATGTCAGAAGAATGAATGTAGGAAAATTGAAAATTGTTAATAAAGAAATAGAAGGCATAAATATTGACGTACTAGGCATTAGAGAAATGAAATGGATTTGCATGGAACATTTTGAATCAGATAATTATAAAAAGACCATTTCTAAGTCCATATTGAAATGCAATATTGTCACAGGATAAAAATCATAAACATAACAAGGAAGACCTTTTAATAATAACATTCAAATATATACATCTAATAGTCAACTGGCTAACTGGCAGGATGGCTGTCTTCTCGATGGCGGCTCCTCTTGGTGGCAGTCAGGCAAGGGTTAGTTTCTGGGGTCCTTTTCATTGTATGTTACTGTTCTTTTTGCCCTTCAAAAGTAGGTGGGTGGTCCTGACCCTTAGAGTAAGGGAAAGTAAGGGTAAGGAAGGAAGGAAAGATGAATGAAGGTAAGTAATTTCGCCTGCAAAGCCTGCTCCAGGTCGTAGGTTAAAATACTGTAGGGCTTGTATTTAGTTGTTTTTGGAGAAACGTTCTTCTAGGTCGTATAACCCTGGTATGGCCACTTGCTGTACAGAAGTAACTTGTGGTTGCTGTGAAGCTGAACATTGTGACACTGATATGTCAAATGCGAAAATAGCTACCCATGGTGGACAGTGTTTGGTGGAGCTCCCTGATTAAAACAAGCTTGGAAGCAGGAGTGGAATCCACTTTCATAATAGCTTGCTTCCGGAACCCTATGAACCTGGAGAAAGGACGAAAGTTATACAGGTGTCCAGGTCTTTCATTAATAGGGTTGCTATGAGTCACCTACAACTCAACGGCACTTAACAACAACAACAACAGCATAGCGAGAGATAAGTTGGCCTAGTGGACAGAAAGTCATGCTCCCAAACCAAAGATGGGTGATCTAATTAGCAGCTCTCAGGGCAGCCTATAATTGTTTTTGGTTGTGGGTAAGAGATGAAATTAAAAATAAATATATACATAGATAAATAAATAAAAAGTTGCTGAAACTAAAATGAAAGCACTACTTATACCAATTGATATATTTCAACAAACAGATGCTGCCCTAGATGTGCTCACCAAGTTATGCCAGGAAATCTGGAGGACAACCACCTGGGCAGCTGACTGGAAGTGATTCATATTTGTTCCAATCCCAAAGACAAGAGATTCGACAGAGTGTGGAAATTATCAAACAATATCATTAATATTACATGCAAGCAAGATTGTGCTGAAGATTATGCAAAAATGACTGAAAAAGCACATAAGCAGAGTTGCATGTAGTGCAGGCTGGGTTTAGAAGAAATTGTGGTACTAAGGATATTGTAGCTAATATTAGATGAAACTTGGCTGAAAACAGGGAGTACCGGGTAAATGTCTATATGTGTTGTATTGATTATGCAAAGACATTTGACTGTGTGGACCACAACAAACTGTGGGTAACTCTGAGAAGAATGGGAGTTACAGAACATTTGATCATGCTTATGTGAAAACTATACTTGGACCAGGAAGCAGTTGTCAGAACAGAGCAAGGAAACACAGCATGGTTCAAAATTAGAAAGGGTGTATGCCAGGGATATGTTCTGTCTCCATACCTTTTCAATCTGTATGTAGAATAGATTATCCAGGAGGCTGGGTTCTATGAGGAAAACTTTTGCATCAGGATTAGAAGAAGTTTCATCAACAATCTGCATTACACAGATGACACAAACCTGCTTGGTGAAACTGAGGAGGACCTGCAGCGCTTGCTGCAGAAGGTTGAGGACTGTAGCCTTCAATATGGATTGAAGCTCAATATCAAGAAAACAAAGATTCTCACAGCTGGGTTTATTCGCAGCATCATGATAAATGGTGAAGAGATTGAGATTGTTAACAACTTTAGTTTCCTTGGCTCCACAATTAACACTCTTGGTACCAGCAGCCAGGAAATTAAAAGACGTATTGCATTGAGAAAGTCTGCTGTCAGAGACCTCTACAAAGTACTGAAGAGCAATAATGTCAGTCTGACGACTAAGGTGTGCCTGTTACAGGCCATAGTTTTTGCAATCACTTGTTATGCACCAGAGAGCTGGACAATGACTAAGGTTGATAGAAGGAGAATTGATGCCTTGGAGCTGTGGTGTTGAAGAAGAGTATTGTATATACCAAGAACTGTTAAGAGAACAAACAGATTCACCCTGGAGAGGGTAAAACCAAGCTGCCCTTTGGAGGCAAAATTCTGAAGCTTTGTTTTACATACTGTGTACATGTTGCAAGGAGGGACCGGTCCTTGGAGAGGGATGTCATGCTTAGGAGGGTGGAGGGACAGTGAAGAAGAGGAAAACCCTTGGTGAGCTGGATTTGATTCAGTGACTTGGGTAATGGGAATAGGCGTGTTTAAAGAAGTGAGTTTGGCTGGTTTTAGGGCTGTTGTACAGAGAGTCATTGTGAGTTGCAGACAACTCAATGGCACATTAAAACAACAACAACTTACCAATACCTCTGGGATACAGGAAAAGAAGTACGTGGATATCAAGTCATAGAAATAGGCAAACACATAAAAAGGGAAGAAAAATGATGATGGATTACTTAACATCTCCAACAAGTAGAAAAAGAACAGAAAATTATCTGAAAGGATCTAAAAGAAGTGAAATTATAAAAATAAGGGCAGAAATAAATGTAATAGAAAACAAAAAAACAATTGAAACTATTAACAAAACCAGGAGTTGGTTCTTCAAATAGGTCAATAAAATTGACAAATCACTAACAAAGCTAACAAAGGAAAAGAGAGAGATAACACAAATAAGAGATGAAAGGGATAATGTCACAACAGAACCAAATGAAATAAAAAGATTTACAATAGAATATTATGAAAAATTATATTCAAACAAACATGAAAACCTAAAATAAATGGACAAATATTTAGAAACTTACAATTTACCCAAACTTACACAGACTGAAGGAGAACACCTGGACAGACTCCTTATAAAATAAGAAATTGAACAGGTTATAAAACAACTTTTAACTGAAAAAAGTCCTTGTTTGGATGGTTTTACTAGAGAAATCTATCAAACATTCAGAGAAGAACTATCACCAATTCTACTCAAAGTATTTCAGAAAATAGAAAAAAGATGAAATACTATCAGACTTATTCCATGAAGCAAATATATCTATTATACAAAAGTCAAGTAAGTACATCACCAAGATAGAAAGTTATAGGCCAATGTCTCTCATAAACCTCTTGTTAAGTGCTGTAGAGTCTTGCCGACTCATAGTGACCCTATGATGAAAGTCCTAGAAACTTGCATGACTTTCATCCTTTCTCCAGATTCATAGCGTTTCTGGAGGCAAGCTATTTATGGAAATGGATGCCACTCCTGCTTCCAAACTTGTCTTAATCAGGGAGCTCCGCCAAACACTGTTAGCCATGGGTACCATTATCACCTTTAACACATCATTGTCACAGTGTTGAGCTTCACAGCAACCACAAGTTACCTCTGTACAGCTAGTGGACACACCATGGTTATATGACCTAGAAGAATGTACATTCCAGCACACCCAAATGCTGGAGAACTCTGGGCCAGAGACCCGTAGTTCATCTGGCAAGTGTGTTCTGCAGACACACACTTGGGGAAAAATGAAAACCACAAGCATCCGGAGTGTTCCATACTTGGCTCTCCTCAAGAAGCCAGAGGCCATGTCCAGCTTACACAAAGTCTCTCAAGACTCTTGCCCTTACTCTGTAGGCATGGCCCAACATTTCTTTATTTCACCATTCTGGCATGCCCAAACGCTGGCGAACTCTGAGCCAGAGACCATTACAATTTAAAAGCAAAAACAAAAACAAAAAAACAACCCTACCCCCAAAACAAACATATACACCTAAACCCAGAGCCAATGAGGAGGATGAATTGTACTAACTTTTGCAGTCAGAAATTGATTGAATATGCAAGCAAGATACCTTGATAATAACAGGTGACTGGAATGAAAAGTCCGGAGCAGGGAAGAAGGATCTGCAGTAGGAAAGCTTGGACTTGGTGACAGAAATGAGCCTAGAGACAGAATGATAGAATTTTGTACAATTAATGACCTATTCATTGCAAAATACCTTTTATAAGAAACAAACAACGAGTATACACATGGACTTCACCTGATGGTCTACACAGAAATCAGATTGATTATATCCGTGAAAAAAATCAATGAAGAAGCTCAATATCAGCTGTGAAAACAAGGCCAGGTGTTGACTGTGGAACAGAGTATCAACTACTCACATGTAAGTTCAAACTAAAGCTAAAGAAAGAAAAGCCTAGCAAACAAACACTAACTAATGACAATTCTATGTCTTACAACAGAATTTTAATCAATATATTTATAAAAGTTATGTTCCCTAGGTTAAAAGGCACTTGAAATACATTCACTAATCATAGTAATTGCTCAAGCATGCTAGCAATCATGAAGATGATACAGGACAGGACGATATTTTATCCTGTATGCATTGGATCCCATGAGTAGAGACTATCTACATGGAAACTAGTAAATAGAAATCTAGATATTGTGACCTGTCTTTCTCTTCCTCAATCTAGCACCTAATTTTTCAACAAATTCAGGTGCTCCAGATATGCTGTTTTTAGGGTCACTATGAGTTGTGGAGTATAACA